TTTCAAGAAAAAAAAGTGCAAGAAACACAAACCCATGGAGATTAAACAACATGTTTCTAAATAACTAATAGGTTACTGAAGAAATCAAAAGGGAAATAAAATTTCTAGAAACAAATGACAATGAAAACATGACAACTCAAAACCTATGGGAAGCAGCAAAAGCAGTTCTAAGAGGGAAGTTTATAGCAATACAATCCTACCTCAAGAAACAAGAAAAGCAACCTAACTTTACACCTAAAACAACTGGAAAAAGAAGAACAAAAAAAAACCCAGAATTAGTAGAAGGAAAGAAATCATAAAGATCAGAGCAGAAATAAATGAAATAGAAAGGAAAGAAACAAGAGTAAAGATTAATAAAACTAGAAGTTTGTTCTTTGAGAAGATAAACAAAATTGACAAACCTTTAGCCAGACTCATCAAGAAAAAAAAGAACAATCAAATCAACAAAATTAGAAATGAAAAAGGAGAGCTTACAACAGACAATGCAGAAATGAAAGGATTATAAGAGACTATTATGAACAACTCTATGGCAATAAAATGGATAACCTGGAAGAAATGGACAGATACTTAGAAAAGTTCAATCTTCCAAGACTGAACCAGGAAGAAATAGAAATTATGAACAACCCAATTACAAGCACTGAAACTGAAGCTGTGATCCAAAATCTCCCAAAAAACAAAAGCCCAGAAACAGATGGCTTCATAGGAGAATTCTGTCAAACATTTAGAGAAGAGCTAATGCCTATCCTTCTAAAACTTCCAAAAAATTGCAGAGGAAAGAACACTTCCAAACTCATTCTATGAGGCCACCACCTCCCTGATACCAAAACCAGACAAAGACAACACAGAAAAACAAAACTACAGACCAATATCACTGATGAACACAGATGCAAAAATCCTCAACAAAATTTTAGCACATTCAGCAACACATCAAAAAGCTCATACACCATGAGCCAAGTTGGGTTTATTCCAGGAAGGCAAGGATTCTTCAATATATGCAAATCAATCAATGTGATACACAATATTAACAAATTGAAAGATAAAAACCATATGATAAGACCATATGATAATCTCAATAGATGCAGAAAAAACCTCTGACAAATTCAACACCCATTTATGATTAAAACTCTTCAAAAAATGGGCACAGAAGAAACCTACCTCAACATAGTAAAGACCATATATGATAAGCCTACAGCAAACATTATTCTCAATGGTGAAAAATCAAAAGCATTCCCCGTAAGATCAAGAACAAGACAACAGTGTCCACTTTCACCACAATTATTCAACATAGCTCTGCAAGTCTTACTTACAGCAATTGGAGAAGAAAAAGAAATAAAAGGAATCCAGATTGGAAAAGAAGAAGTAAAGCTCTCACTGTTTGCAGATGACATGATATTGTACATAGAAAATCCTAAAGATGGTATCAGAAAATTGCTACAGCTAATCAGTGAATTTAGCAAAGTTGCAGGATACAAAAATCAATACACACAAATCACTTGCATTTCTATACACTAACAATGAAAAACCAGAGAAATTAATGAATCAATCCCATTCACCACTGCAACAAAAAGAAGTAAATATCTAGGAGTAAACTTACCTAAGGAGACAAAAGAACTGTACACAGAAAATTATAAGACACTAATGAAAGAAATCAAAGATGACATAAACAGATGGAGAGAGAGTCCATGTTCGTGGGTAGGAAGAATCAATATTGTGAAAATGACTACACTACCAAATGCAATCTACAGATTTAATGCAATCCCTATCGAATTACCAATGGCATTTTTCACAGAACTAGAACAAAAAATTTCACAGTTCATATGGAAACACACAAGACCCCAAATAGCCAAAGCAGTCTTGCAAAAGAAGAATGAAGCTGGAGGAATCAACCTTCCTGACTTCAGATTATACTGCAAAGCTACAGTCATCAAGACAGTATGGTCCTGGCACAAAAAACAGAAATACAGACCAATGGAACAAGATAGAAAGCCCAGAAATAAACCCATGCACCTACGGGTACCTTATTTTTGACAAAGGAGGCAGGAATATACAATGGGGAAAAGACAGCCTCTTCAATAAATGGTGCTGGGAAAACTGGACAGCTACAAGTAAAAGAATGAAATTAGAACACTTCTTAACACCATACACAAAGATCAACTCAAAATGGATTAAGACCTAAATACAAGACCAGAAACTATAAAACTCTTAGAGGAAAACATAGGCAGAACACTCGATGACATAAATCAAAGCAAGATCCTCTATGGCCTACCTCCTGGAGTAACAGAATTAAAAACAAAAGTAAGCAGTGTGGGCAAGTGGGAGCTGATTAAACTTAAAGGCTTTTGCACAGCAAAGGAAACTATAAGAGCAAGGTAAAAAGACACCCTTCAGAATGGGAGAAAATAATAAGTGAAACAACTGACAAAGGATTAGTTTCCAAAATATACAAGCAGCTCATACAACTCAATGCCAGAAAAACAAACAACCCAATCAAAAAGTGGGAAAAAGACCTAAACAGACATTTCTCCAAAGAAGACATACAGATGGCTAACAAACATATGAAAAGATGCTCAACATTGCTCATTATTAGAGAAATGCAAATCAAAACTACAGTGAGATATCACCTCACACCAGTCAGAATGGCCATCATCAAGAAGTCTACAAACAATAAAAGCTGGAGAAGATGTGAAGAAAAGGGGACGCTCCTGCACTGTTGGTGGGAATGTAAATTGATACAGTCACTATGGAGGATGGTATGGAGATTCTTTAAAAAACTAGGAATAAAAACACCATAAAAGCACCCAGCAATCCCACTCCTACACATATACCCTGAGGAAACCAAAATTGAAAAAGACACATGTTCATTTTTCACTGAAGCACTATTTACAATAGCTAGAACATGGAAGCAACCTAGATGTCCATTGACAGATGAATGGATAAAGAAGTTGTGGTACATACACACAATGGAATATTACTCAGCCATAAAAAGGAAGACATATGAGTCACAGTTCTGATGAGGTGGATGAACTTAGAACCTATTATACAGAGTGAATTGAGTCAAAAAGAGAAAGATAAATATTGTATTCTAATACATATATATAGAATATAGAATAATGGTACTGAAGAATTTATTCACAGGGCAACAGTGGAAAAACAGACATAGAGAATAGTCTATGGACATGGGCAGAGGGGAGGAGAGGGTGAGATGTATGGAAAGAGTAACATGGAAATTCACATTACCACATGTTAAATAGCCAACGGGAATTTTCTGTGTGGCTCAGGAAACTCAAACAGAGGCTCTGTATCAACCTAGAGGGATGGTACGGGGAGGGAGATGGGAGGGAGGTTCAAAAGGGAGGGGATGTATGTATACCTATGGCTGATTCATGTTGAGGTTTGACAGAAAACAACAAAATTCTGTAAAGCAATTACCCTTCAATAAAAAAATAAAAAGAAAAAAAAAATCCAAAAAAAAGTGAAGAAACGACTCTCTTCTTTGAATTCCCACTAAACACCATGTAAACTCCTACTAGAGTACCTGTAATACTTTTTTTTAACTTATTGTCAGGAAAAGAACATGCCTTTAGAGGTTAAGCAAGTTGTCTAAGCAGAAGTCAGTAAAAGACCAAGACTTGAACCCAGATCCCTCGACTCAAAGCCCAACCTGGCTAAGTCCTAAGATGGTGAACTGTTGCGTAAATGTTTCCTAAATATTTATACTGTTGTTTTTCATTTTCAAAAACACATAGGAATGGAGGCGCAGACAGAGGACAGACTTGCAGAAGCAGTGGGAGAAAGAGAGGGCAGGACAAACTGATACAGCAGTGCCGGCATACACACTGCCATGTGCAACCAAATCGCTGCTGAGAGGTGGCTGGGTGATGCAGGGCGGCCAGCCTGGGCTCTGTGACGGCCTCGACGGGTGGACGGGGTGCCAGGGGGGCTCAGCAGGGAGGGGGTGCATGTACACACGCGGCTGATTCACTCTGTTGTGTGGCAGAAAGTAACAAACATTGTAAAGTGACTATCCTCCAATTAAAAAAAAAAAAAAAATACATACACAATCTGTTCACTAGTTGGTCTCTGAATCCAAAGAGCTTCACCTACACAACAGGAATTCCCCAGCAGTGGCCTATAAATTCTTAATTTCAAGATAAGAGATAGAACTCAACTTGTCTTACACAGTGAGTTGGTGGCAACGGAGCAAGACAAAAGATAAATAAAACCCAAGAGTTTTCATGATCCACACCTGCACTTTTCCCATATTTTCTCCTGCCATTATCTACACCCTTGTTCTCTGCATTTCAAAGAATACTTCCAAATCTTTGCACTTCTGTTTTTTCTAATTAATGAGACCCCATTCCTTGTCATCCTGATAAACTCCTTTCCATTTCTAAGACCAGCTCAAGTGGTATTTCTCCTCAATGAATCCTTTCTGACTCCCCAGACAGAAGTACAGGCTTGCCTCCTCTACTCCCCACATTTCATGTATTCTATAATTAAACTGTCACATTAAGGAAATTATCTATTTTCAAGTCTCTCCTGGCTGGAGAAGGAATCCTGTCATTTACTTTGGCATCTCCAGCAGCTGGCACATAAGCAGACTCTGTGTCTGCACATTTATATCCTGCTATGTGTCAACAAAGGATTAAGGCACAAGCATTTAATAAATATTTCCTGAGTTAATGAACATGTGTTTCATCACCTGAGAGAGGTTTGGTTTTTGTTTGTTTGCCAGTCAAATCCTAAACTCTTCTTCATATAAGACAGAAAATAAACCAAGCTCATTTGATACTGGCAGTTAAAGCAATGTGTTTACCTGCAAAACCAAACCAGTTACCACGGGTTTGTTTGGAAAGAACAGCTTAACCACAAACAATGCACATGCACAAACCACAGTAGATCAGATGCATAAACACACTACTACTGCGTTACCCACAATACAATTAATCCTGTTTCTCACCAGGAACAAACTGACTGCCAATCTGAATACTCAACTTTACCTGCAGTGCTTGTTCTTGGATGTCACGAAATAATTCCATATCCTTCTCAGTCATGATTTCCTGGCTCCCGAAAAGCCGGTCCTCGCTTTCTTGTTTGCCATCCCAGCCATCCTGATTGTCTGCACGTTAAGAAAGGGCTTACATGTTACTGATGCTACCAGGCGTTCTGCACATGAACTGGAACAAATTTCAAAAGTCTTAATATTATTTATGTAAAAGAGGACAGCACTAAGCTGACTTCCAGAAAGATACTAGTCAATAAGTACCTATTGTATCTGCCTTATAATGAAAATCCTGAGTTGAGTTAAAACTTTTTAAAAGTATTACATAACTAAATTTAAACTTCATTAAACAAGTTTGTATTTCAGCATATACATACACATATTAAAAAAAGTAAAACAGGAAAAAGATCTAAGAAATATGCAGTCTATTCTGAAATAACAAGAATATAAAACTTTTGACACATGTCAACACGTAAATGTTGTTTTTTCATTCTTTGGTAGTATGGAAGAAGTTTATGTTATAGCAGGACATAATTTTCATCACTTTAGAGCAAAACAAGAAAAGTTTGCTCCTGTTAAAATTCTCAATGATTCCACAGTTCTTCCTAAGGCCAATGCATTCTTATCTCAACAAAACGGTCTATTTCAAGTGGCTATTTTAACTGATGCCCAGTGCCAACTCCCCAACTCGCCTCCCATTCTGGGTGCCCACTTAAAGCACAAACTCCAAAGTCTGAGGAGCACAGGCGGTAACCCTCTGGGAAAGTACGAGAAATTAAAATAAGCATTCACTAAATGATGCACCTTCCTCAAATGGGTAGAGACATGAGTGAGAGGAGTATTGGGGGATCAAGCAGATCATCAGCCTCTGCGTTTGAGAATAACACCAATGTGGTCCTGCCTCTTCTCTGAATGTGTGGCAGTTCTCTTAAAAAACCAACTGTATACACAGTTACTCATTTCGTGGAAGAAAAAGGACAGGGGCTCACTCCTGTCTGAAAAATCCACATCTGATCTGCAGATACTCTGCGCCTTCACTGCCCCCTAGTGCGTGACACAGAGGGATGCAGGCCCAGGTCGGGTACAGCACTCCCCGCGCTACAAGACGGTGCAGGCTGCCTCCTGAACTACAGCTCAGAGAGAAAATGACAGAGCCCATCAAAGCCAAAGTCATGCCTGAGACTCAGCAATGGTTCTCCACGCACTCGATACATTTGCTCTGATAGAAAATTTCTAACACTTTCCAGTAGATTGTTCTAATAATCTACCTCCAATGAAATGGTTAATTCAGAAATGCCTTTTATCACCCTCTGCTTTATAAGATTCTTTCCTAAGTCCTGCATGTTTTCTCAGATAAATGTACTCAAGAGTGGGCCTTATCTTCAGTCTACATGGCTGATAAAGACATGAAAAGTAAAAGCCTAAACTGTAATTGAGTTGATTGCCACTCAGGTGAAAAGTCAATCAATACAGCATAAAAGGGGGGCGGATCTGACAAGGATGAGGATCTTTCCCTCCTGCAGTGGCCCGGTTCCATCCTTTATAGAAGCAGGAATGATACGGAGTGAGGAGTACAATCCCCAGTGGGACAGTCAGGGGGAAGGAATCAGAGTTCAGACCGCCCCCCGCAGCCCATGAGGCACCACCCGGGCACACACAGCCCGTGACCTCAGAGCCCACTCTCACTCTTCGACTTTGCTCACAGCCCTTTCTACTTTCTTCACACGACTGGGTGCTCTCAGCTCCACAGCGATGAGACCAGCTCATCAACACTGTCTCCTCTGACGTGAACTATCTGCTATACTTTTAACTCTTCTTCACAGATCTTATCTAAGCTGAAAATGAGGGAACTTAGCCTGAAACGTAGGCAAATGGTCTGAAGCTGTGGCTCTCTAAGTATAATCCATGAAAAATTACAACTGCCAAGATCTGAAGTAAAAAATCAATGACCTCATCATATTTACAAATAATTTTGTCTTTCACTTATGCTCAGATTAACAGCAGTCTATTTATCCACACTCTTTGCAGTTTCCTTCCAGGAATAAAAACAAGCATCATGAAGTTCATCACATGATTCATTCTGTAATTTATGAAATATAAAATTATCCCTGAGTCAAGGTTATACCCCACATTTCTGTAGATTTATTCTTTGTGCTTCCACCAAAAAAAGCATCTTCTTTTGTCTAAAACTCCTGCTTGTCCATTCTCCAGCTTCATCTCTAGGCTCTAAATTCCTGCCATTTTTATCACCTGAGTATCACCTAAATACATGACCTTGAACATATTCTCATATTCCAAGACAAATTTTTAATAAATCAAATATAAATCTACTCCAGGTAAGTAGTGTTATTCCAAATAACAGACTGTGGAATACTTTGTTTCCAAGCAAGCAGACTTTACCTGTGGGCCAATCTGAAGTGCTTGGTTTTCTGTTGCCCTTTTTCCTAACTCTGTATTGCTCAGAGTAGTCTACCACTTCCCCCCGAGGCTTCCGCCCATCGGGAGAAGGGGTAAAGAATTTGGTAAGGCCATCGATGAGCCCTTTGGTTTTCTTATTGAACTTCAAGGGGACACTGCCATCTCTGCAGAAGTCCAAGCCATCTATTTGCTCTAGGTATCCTTCTTCTGATGACGACGCTGACTGGCTGGAGAGGGTGATTTTACGTTTCCGACCCCTTCCAGGGCCTGTTCGAACTTTGCTGAAGGGACCTTTTGACCTAAGGAATCAAACAGGGAAAGGGGGAGCTATTAAAAAGAAATCTTTATAAGGCTTCTGTTTAATACATAACACATAGTAAATATCTACAACTGTATTTTTAAAATCCATATTATTAAGAACAGTCCATAAACTGTAAGAAATATTATATGATTAAGAAGTAATATTATTAGAAACATCCACTTCTGGGAAGCCTACGCATTTTATAATGAAAAGAATCCTAGGCCGGGAGTCAGACGGCATATTTGAGTCATAACTCTGCCACTTACTAGCTGCACATCTTGGGGAAATCACATTCTCTCTAAACAATAGTGTCTTTATCTACACAATGAGAGTTGTACCACAGAAAACCTAAGACCCTTCCTGGTATGAAGGCTCTTCCTAGGATCTCTGCACCAACTCAGAGTTAGACTCTTACCTCTCAACATAAGGATGGGTTACTCTCTGCAAGCCAGGATTCAAAAGATCTTTTTATAGGAAAATTAAAGCTTGATTTAAGATTTAAAAGCATGAATTACAGTACTGGTTCTTTGTATTTCAAGCTGCTAATGCCCAATCACTTCAGTTTTATCACCTTCAAGATAGTCTTAAAGTGTAGAAAAGGTGGGTAAATTTTATGAAAGGTTGGCAGGCTTAAAGGCAGTTTACATATCATCAAAGGTGAATTACTAGAGAGATACTTCAAAAAAAAAAAGACAAAATTAGCTACTGAATCTTGCCCCACCTCCTCCAGACCTAATCCAGTTTTCTAGTCTACAAGAGAGAATTATATTCCTGATTTCTGCTAATAGGTGAAAAAAAAATTCACATTATTTTACTTTAGGACATAGAAACGGGACTTAGCTATGACCAATAAGAGAAGCTATCCAGCAATTTGTACATATAACACAAACTACTGAGATAACATTAAGAGAAGAATCTTTGAAATGCTTCAGTAACATAATTTTTTCTTCCTTGTTTTTCAGGTAAAAGAGAAAATTTAAGGTAACGGTTAAGGGCCAGACTTTGGTGCCAGCCTCCTGGGGTTTTAATCTCAGTTCAACACTTACTATAAACTATGCAAGTTACTGCTCTATGCTATAGCTTCCTCCTTTGAAAAAATGAGAGTACCAACAGTTCCTACTTCCCTGGGCTGTCAGGAGAATTAAATGATATAATACACGTAAAGCACTTAGAAGAGTGGGTGCCTTGGCCCTCTCTTAAGGGCTCAATAAGCATTAGCCATTATTATTATTACATAAAAATCAATCTCCTTTTCCAAATGCAAACAAGTGAACCCCTGCACTACAGAGAAGGCCCTATCCTCTTCTCCCCTCACCTTGCCACAAGTACAACTTACACCGTGTTTTGTTTCTTTAACCTGTTTTTTGGACGTCCTATTGGATTAGCATAGCGCCGTTTTATCTGTGCTGCCTTCTTCTGTAGAAGTTTTCTTCCTTTTTTCCTAGGTCGACATATCTGACATATCCACATGCCTATAAAGAAAGAAAATTCCACATAAAAGCCCAATAGATATAAATCCACTGAAGGAGTTCAGATAGTCTAAGCCAGGAACTCTTAACCTCTTTCAGGTCAAGGACTCTTATTTGAAAATCTGATAAAAGCCCCCAGAAACACAAACATGAAAACACACACATAGAAAATCCTACAAACAACTGGAAGAGACTCCTGAAGGCCATACACGGCTCAAGTCCACTGATGCTGACTTTATAGCCAGCACTCAATAGGGGTTTCTAATTCCTATTCTGCAAGAAAAGATGCCAGGTTTCCACAGAGAAATGGCTGAGTCCAGGACTGGAGCGGGGAAAATACAAGATAACCGAGAACAGCTTGTGGTGCCGGAAAATAAAGAAGTACTCAACAGATAATGAAGCCGTGTCAAAATGACCCAGGAGCCAACTTGAAGGAGCTCCCAATGGCCAAATCTGGGTGAACCGAAGGAAAAAGGAATAATCACAGCAATGGACAATAATTCACAGAATAAAGTAAGTATCTATGAACCATAATGATTAAAACAGTTGAATAAATACATGCGAGAAAGTGATCCCTCTTTCTTACAGCAGAATTCCAGTTAGTAAGCGAAGAAGAAATGATGGAAATTAAAAAATCATCACTATGCCGAAAAACACCAGAGTAAAAATTAGCAGTAATTGATGCTAAAGGAGTTGCAAAGCAAAAAAAAAAGAGTAATTGTAAGGTGTCTGTCAAGTTCTCCACTATAAACAAGTGGCCCAAGTTAACACCACCAGTAAGAAGACAAACTGTACAATATATCCCTGTTATGATACACCAAGAGGGAACAACACTTGGGAAAGCTGAGTAAATGGTACAATGAGAACTCTCTACTATTTTTACCATGTTTTTGTAAGTCTGAAATTATTTCAAAATAAAGTGTTTCCTGCTGTAAGCTGCCATAAAACTTCTTTTGTAGGCATTAAGTGCACAGGAATGAGGTCCTAAGAAAATTTGTACCATCTGGAAGGATTCTCAGAAGGCCTCTGCCCACATTTCAAGTAACTGGAAGAGGTGGGAAGAGGGGACACTTGTTCTTCCAGAACATACAACTGTGACTCTTCAAATGGTAGCCATCAATAGCGGCACAGAGGGCGCGAATAAAATCCCGAAGTGGAATAACTTGGCTACAACTCGGGCTGGGTCCCTTTCCATCAGCAGGAAACACTTCCTCAAAGAGACATAAAGTATCTCACAAGCATTTTACTTAAAAAGTCTATAAATCACAAAAACCTGAGTTGAAAATGGAATTTATGATAAGACAAAGCAGAGACGACTAATGATTTTTTTTAAGAAACTGCAAGCATGTGATAATATGGAAGTCCAACCAACAGGCAACTATATCTCAAGTAAATACCTTTCAGTGAACAAGAGTCAAAAGAATAAAATAATATTTTTAAGCTGTATTCTTCTTTTTGGGGCATTTGTTTGCTCGCAAAATACTATAAAATTTTTTGAGGTTTTCAATAAACCAGAGGCTCTAATAGCTTTAAGCCCCTCAAAGGTGATAAACTGTGATATAATCAACATGACCTAACAGAATTTCACTTCTTCAAGAAATAAATATTTCAAAGTATTATAAAAGTAAAGTATTTTGCCCTGTAGCTACAGGGCTGGCAAAAATTGGTAAACGGACACCTTCACCCTCATGGATGCTTAAACACTGAAAACAGGGGAAACTAATACTAAACCCACACTACATAAGAACATCAGGAGACTGTCCCCATCTTTACGGTGACAGCTCTCCACTCAAGACAACCCAAAGGAGAAAGATGCAAGCTATTCTTTCACTTTAACAAAGTAGATTAAAAGGCACTTTCACTAACCTGCCCCGTATCACCTTGATTTCAGAAAGTACTTCTTACCTTTCGGCATCCGAGTGAGTGGCGGGTCACAACACTCCATGTGAAAACCCCGGTCACAGGAATCACAAAAGAGCATGTTATCCTAAAGCAGAGAAAGAACAGCTCTGCTCAGTCAAATGAAACAGAAACATGTTAGGATCATGACTTCATGAAACCTAGGAGGCTCCTTTCCACAAAGGAGATGAGTTACCTAATAATAAAAGTTCCCTTAATCTGCAGTAGTTGAGTAAATGCGTAGCCTGAGTTAGCAAAAGGTTTTGCTTCATCCAACTTTAATAAGGACCTAAAGTTTCATTACTTCTAAAGAAATGTGGATCCAGTAGCCAGATACAAGCTAACTTTTTTAGTCTGCTTTAATAAAAGGGAGAGAAAGATGACTATAATTAATATAAATGATCATTCCTAAATGAATACCTCCATAAGACTCAAATTTCACAAGTATTTCTTTAAAGTAGCTAGTCTCTCTACAAACATACAATTAAAGTGCTTTAGTAACTACCAAGAAATCTGGGAATTCCCTGGCAGTCCAGGCGCGAGGACCCTGTGCTACCACGGCTGGGGGACCCAGGTTCGATCCTTGTCAGGGAACTAAGATCCCATAAGCTGCACAGTTTGGCCAAAAAAACTGGGGAGTGGGGTAGAAAACTGCCTAGAAATTATTCAAGAATTATCCAATACTCACTCAATCATCACTGAGCAAGTATTCTAAACTAATGATGTGAACTTTAAGAGGCTACTGTTCTAAACTCTGCTGAACCAAGTGACTGAAAATAATCAAACATACATAGAGGAAAATGCCAGTGGTACACTCTACTTCTAAATGAAATATTTACAATGGAAGGCAAAAATACTCACTGCATTTTTGCCTTGATCTCGACAGGAGCTGCACGTTTTACACTCAATGCACTGCCACCGTAAGGCCTTCACTCTAACCGTTAGTTCGGGGGAAAACTTTAAACAGGATGGATGACCTAATAAAAGGTGAAAATTGGCAAATGAAACAATCAAGAATCATTCTGCAACTGTATAAAAGAAATGTTGTAGAAAAAGGCAATTATCTTAAATCAAAACATCAAGGAAAACAAGAAGCTCCTGGAAGCTTGCCACACTCATGGTTTCAGGACTTAGCACTCCAGTTCAGTTTTCTGCATGCTACATATATCACCCCCCTCCCAATTTGATTATTAAAAAAACTTGAGAAATTCCAAACTTGTATTAAGGCCGCATTAATTAGAGTACTATGTGTGTACACATGGTCCTATGTATATGAATACATAATAAGCCTTGGCCATTTTTGGAAGAATAAACACAAAAACTGTTTACAACTGTAACATCCTAGGATACAGAGCTATAAATATTTTTTAGGAAAAGGATTCTACATTTTACTTTATACCCTTCTGTGCTCTCATTTTTTAAACAATAACGTGTTATGTTTGTAACTAATAAATTTTTTAAATCCCATCATTTAAAAGTGAGTTATGTGCTCATGATTTAAGGCACTCAAGATAAAACTAAAACCTAAGCAATATTTCTACTGTGATCAGAATTAACAGTAACAGAAAAAAAAAAAAGTTTCCTCTCTCAAGAGTTACAATCAGTTTGATTCTCAAAAACTTAGGATAGCTAATTTGCTCGTAACTCTGAAAAGATTTATCCGTTTCCTCTTAAAATTGGTTATGTTTACTTTTCTTCAGTGAGAGAAAGGGTTGGTTAAATTATCTTTCTCTTTTCTATCAACAAATTTTCTTTTTTAAGAGAAGATAAGAAATTTATCATCAAAACATCACTTACATCCAAGGAAAATGAGAGAAGTATAAAAAAAATCTCATCTATAATCTTATCATCCCAGAAGAGCTATTTTCATGTTCTACTTTTCCTTTCTAAACTAACTAAAGCCCTTGCATGGTTTTAATTATAGGATATGTACAGCTTTGCTCTGCTTTTCATTATTTTATTCAAGCAAACTTTATATTTACATTCCTTAAACTGATTATACTCCAGAGTTGACACACAAGAACCTACCTGATCATCTGCCTGTTGTAAATATTGACACAACTAGCCCATAACAGTTATTAGAACACTAAAATGAATTATTTCATGATTACAGATTCTTTCCTTCTTTTAAGTTAATTCCTTAGAATAAATTCCTAAAAGAGGAACTGGCAAGTGAAATGAAATAAACATTTCTGTAGCTTGAGAGGTAGATCTGCCCTGCCAAAACATGCTCCAAGCCCCACGATGTAACATCCAGGGACATCAGCCGCGTACATTTTATCACAATTTTATCAACTCCAGTTTGGGCTCTCTTATCTTTCAAGCTTTATAAAAGCTATAAAATAACACTTCACTGTTGCTTTGGTGGGCCTTCCTATTATTATTTTGGGAAAACATTTTTAATGTGCTCAACTCTTAATTTCTCTCACATAAATGGCCTATTCATTGCCTTTGCCCCTTGGACTTTAAAAATGTAAATGCGCTCTTTATAGCTTTTGGCCCTTTGCCAAACGTTTAACACAATTATTTTTCTGAAACAAGTCTTCCTGTTTAAAATTTGGGGTACTTTAGCTCTCAATTTGGAAAACCCCCAAATTTCATGCCCTTGACCACTTTCTCCCTTGGTGACCGTGACGGACAACCAGCGCTCCTGGCAACACCACCAGCTCAGGCCCTGTGCGGTCCCCGCCCGCACCAAACAGTACCCTCGGCAGTGACCGCGTGACTGCTCAGCTGGGTGCAAAAGACGCTGCCGTCCCACCTGCTCTCTCCCTCCGACGGGCCACCTCTGCCACGCCCTGGGAGTCAGGCCTCGGAGCCCGTCCAACAGTCTTACAAAAAACCTTATTCTGGTATTAAATTCCCCTCCTCTTGAAGCATGTAGTGTTTTCTGCTTTCTGGACTAAATCCTGTTTGATACTGGTATAAAACACTGAATATTAAGCCAATGATCAAAGATACTACAAAGCTTCATAAGTTCTTAAAAGGTAGACAAGGAATATCTCTGAAATTAACAAATTAGGAGACTCTTTGAAAAACCTTTTTTAGAGCCCCAAATTTCACACAGCTCACTAAATTACAGTCAACACTCTGCTTCTCAATGTGACATATTGAAAGTTTATGTTAAAAAAAAAAATCTGTTATCATCCTGGTTCTATTCACGAAGGCTGAGGCGTAAATCAAAGTAAGTAGTGATTATTAAAGAAACCAGTAATAAATTCCAACTGACTGATGTGATTTGAACAGATGCTGGATAGTGAAATATAAAGACTAATAGAAAACAAAAAGAAGTTTATGAAAAGCTTTCTATAAAAAAACAACTACTAAGACCTGATTTAAGTTAACTGAATAAAACATTTCAATTATACATTTAAACTCTTCCCTCATCTAGAAGCTCATCTCAGGTACCTAAAACCAGAATCAAATGTAAATGTTACTCTCTTAGGTCAAGTATACAATTTCCAGTTAAACATCCTCTTGCCGGACAAGCCCCGTGAGATGGCACACACAGGGGGTCACCTACCACTGTTGCCGCAGTCCGCACAGGAGATGAGTTCCTCTGGCTTCTTTTCTCGGTTTTGCTCTTTTGTGCCAAGACAGAAACTACAGATGGGGATTGGTTCAGCAACCGGCTGTAAAGAAAAACACAATTCCCTCAGTACTGGGTCTTTTCCTTAGTGCTAACATAAAAGACAGTAAAAGTACCATTTTAAATTCCTTTAAGAGTTGCATATAACTTTGGGACAAATGTATACCCCTCCAAAATTTCCAACTCACAAAGCAGATGGGTTTTTACCAAGCCTGCTTTGGCTACATCTTTACAAAGGGTCCTGACACTGGCAACTTTGGTCCAAAAACTCATACCCCAATCAGTTGGTCACTTAGAAACTAAATGACACAATATGGGTTAAACAAAGCAAATCGACTACCTAAGAATGAAAAATTCAACAAAATTAAGTACAAGAAATCATAGTATTAGCCTTTACAAGGCATGTGATAGAAAAGTAGTACCAGTCATAAAGAAAAGCAGAAGTCATTAGTGCAATGAGGCAAACAGGGCTCTGTGCAAACGGGAAAATAAATTCCAGCAGTGGGCCGGAAGAGACGGGTTGAATGAGGAAGACAGCACATATGAAGTGCCAGGAACATGTGTGTTACGGTAATCTAAGAAGTCTGTCCAAGGACAACAGATAGTAATTATTAAACGCAGGTTTAAACCTAGGTCTCTAGGTTCCTCCACAGCAGTGGATGGACAGAAGGGCAATACAGGTAGTATAAACAGGGTGGACTTCAGGGTACAGTCTGCCAAGGCTAGTACTTTAAAGATACAGTTTCTGTGATAAGCAGGGGTGGGGGGTATGGGGGGACGAGAGAGAGAGACTAGATCAGTTCTTTAAGATTGCCACTGAATATCTTTTAAAGAAGTTGGACTTCACCCTGCAGAAAAGAAGAACACGTTACTGAACCAAGAGACGATCACCTGTACTTGAGAAAAATAACCCCAGTAGCAATAAAAAAGGCAGACTGGGGAAAAAGGAATGGCAATGAAAAACTAGCTACCGGCTCAGAAAGCAACCAGCTGTGGAAGTAACAGAAAAGGAAATGAGTTAACCATGACACAACCCAGCAACTGAACAACAACAACTTAACTGAAAAGCTGGTGACATCATCAACTATGAACGTCATCCTAGAGAAGAAAGTCAGGAGGAAAGGAAAGAGACGGTGAGTCTGATTTCAGGCGTGTTTCTCTACGCTAAGCATGGTGCAGGACAGTGACACAAAGCCCTCCAGACGCTTTCAGTCTAGTGGGGAGAACAGATGCAACGTCCACAGGTATCAGGACAAAAGTACAACAATGGGAAACAAAGGACCAAGTGATCAAGCAGGTGCAAGTGGCGTCAGGGAAAGGGTTCCTAGAGTTATCTTACAGGCCAGGCACACCTGAAGGGGATGTGAAAAGAAAATACAGACTCACAGAGAATCAGTTTGGGAGGTGGGTGGTATGAGCTTAGTTTGGGTCTTAATAGAGCTTAAAATGCCTATCAAACATCCAAAGAGCAATGTCCACGGATCTGGGGTTCAAGAGAAAGGTTGACTTGGAAATTAAAATCTAGAAGTCATAGTCAGCCCTCCATATCCCTGGGTTCCACATCCTTGAATTCAACCTACTGTGGATCCAAATCAGTTGAATCTGGAACCCAGAACCTGCAGATACCCTGGGGGCTGACTACACATACAAAACAGCCATAAAGCCATCAGCTAATGGGTTTTCCCATGGAGAAGAGGTGGAAAGGAGCGCCAAGAACACCAATATGTAAGGGGCTGGCAGAGGAGAAAGCCTGGAAAATAAACAGGCTAGTGAGAGAGCTCAACGGTACATCAATGTAAAAACGTCCAACACAAGCAAACTAACAGTATTGCTCAGCCAAGACGTGAAATGAGAGATGAACAGCTGGAAGTTGTCTTTTAACAACTGTGGCTGTGGTAAAGACAACCACGTCCTTCCTTTAAAAAGAACCAGGGAATAAACCTGGCAGAGACGTTACATATGAGCAGAAGCTTGAAGTGATCTCTAGAGCAGGCAGAAGTGAGGCCACGAGGTTTGAGCTTTATGCTGCAGCCTCCCAGGATCTCTCTCAGATTTTAACAGGGGAACGATATGAGCAAGATTCAAAGTTCTAAAAAGTCACTGTGTAAGTGGCTGGAAATGGACGGGAAAGAATACGATCCACGTATGATCCAGGCCATGAGTAACGAAGGCCTACATTAAGGCACTGGCAAAAGGACTGGAGAAGAGACATAAGAGAAATAGAAAAGGTAGATCTGCAGGAACTAACGGGTAACTCGGGGGTAGGGAACAGAGAAGGGTGGACGACCAAAGAGACACCATCAAAGAAGCGAAGAGGCAAGCCACGGAAAGGCAGATCCTAACACACATTTAACTAACCAATGTTCATATCCAGCACTACATACATAAAAACCCTCACATGTCAGTCAGGAAAAGACAGAAGACTTCGCCAGGTACTTCACAGCAGAAAACACATGTAACACAGGGCGGCAGAGCGTCAGCTCCTTGACCTAACCACGTCACAGTGGGGGTGCTGCTTCTCTGACCTCGTAAGACCAGGCATAAAAATAATAAATATTTTAGCTACCAAAAAACCAGAACCCATAGAGAAATACTATTACCAACAGTGATCATGATATTGTAACGTAACTGATAATTCCAGGGCTTTTTTTTTTTTTAAATTTCAGGGCACTTTTTAAGCACAATTTGGGCAAGAGTAATAGCACTTTGAGAATGAGTCATTTCAGCTGATGAACTACAAGCAAAAAAGTGGTTTAAATAAATCATTGAGGTTACAACATAAATCTATGAGGTTTTCTGTGTGGATCAAATAGAAGTGCTAATCAGCTAATTGTGTGGTTTATTTGGGCACATCCCTAACCATATCATGAAGTGTGAAAAAAAAATCACAACTCCGGATGATTCTCATTCCCGAAATATCATTGAGTACGAAGATCACTGAGACAGGCCAACACTACACTGTGTTTGTTCACTATAAGAGTTGAGCCTGAAATGTACTGGAGTAGTGATATTCATAACATTTTCCAAGTAAAACTCTACCAGCTGATTTCAACTGTCCTGTATCACAAAAATAAGAACAATGGATAATCCAAGAGCAAATCTATAAAAATATGTATAGATACACAATATGCCATATAATCACTGATCTCAGAACTGTCAAAACATAGACCTTTTATCTCATTGCTCTCATATCTCTATAAAGTAAATCTGTCCCTACTGCTAATAAACCAAGAAAAAAAAAATTGCACCACACACCATTAAACACAGAAGCCAGAGTGAGCCCGTAGCTTGGCGCCCACCTCTCATCCAGCCTAATGACATCTAGTTTCAAGACCCGCTGTGACCTGTACCCGCCCCCCACCCCACACACACAGGGTCTCTCCAACATCACCTGCCACTGCTCTCTCTCACACTCTACTCCTTCCTGCTTGCTCTTTCTTTGCAAGTCAGACGTTCCGAGACCTCTGCACCCTCTTTCCTTCTGTCTGCAGGCACAGCACTTCCCTCGATCCTTTAGACCTCGACTCAAAAGTCCCCTTCAGTAAGACTCTCTCTGACCACTCCATCTAACACTTCAAAACAATTTGCCAACCACAAAAACTCACATCCCCCCCACTTTATTCTTTCTTCTTAAACTCTCCTCACTAATTGAAATATTGTATGTGTATCTTACCATTTGTTCCCCCAATGCAATGCAAACTGCAAGAAAGCCATGACTTCCGTTTGCTAAGGACTGTATTCCGCACTGAGAGCAGTGTCTGCCACACAATATGCGTGTAAAGTGCTGTTCAGTGCTTTAACTAAATTACCCTGAACAACTGGAAACAATAAGAAAAGCATTGTCTGAGAGAGAACAATGAGTCAGTTATGAGCCTGACAGAGTTATGCACAGCTCAATAATATAAATACACTCTACTGATTATTTAGTTTATATGCAGAGTGCATCATGCAAAATGCTGGACTGGATGAAGAACAAGCTGGAATCAAGACTGCCAGGAAAGTATCAATAACCTCAGATAGGCAGATGACACCACCCTTAGGGCAGAAAGTGAGAACTAAAGAGCCTCTCGATGAAAGTAAAAGAGTAAAAAAGTTGGCTTAAAACTCAACATTCAGAAAACAAAGATCATGGCATCCGATCCCATCACTTCATGGCAAATAGATGGGGAAACAATGGAAACAGTAAGAGACTTCATTTGGGGGGGCTCCAAAATCACTGCAGATGGTGACTGCAGCCATGAAATTAAAAGATGCTCGCTCCTTGGAAGAAAAGCTATGACCAACCTAGACAGCATACTGAAAAGCAGAGACATTACTGACAAAGGCCTGGATAGTCACGGCTATGGTTTTTCCAGTAATCATGTGTGGATGTGAGAGGTGGACTATAAAGAAAGCTGAGTGCCAAAGAATTGATGCTTTTGAACTGTGGTGTTGGAGAAGACTTGAGAATCCCTTGGACTGCAAGGAGAGCCAACCAGTTAATCCTAAATCAGTCCTGAATATTCATTGGAAGGACTGATGTTGAAGCTGAAACTCCAATACTTTGGCCACCTGATGCAAAGAACTGACTCACTGGAAAAGACCCTGATGCTGGGAAAGATTGAAGGCGGGAGGAAAAGGGGACGATAGAGGATGAGATAGATGGTTGGATGGCATCACCGACTCGATGGACATGAGTTTGATCAAGCTCCCAGAGTTGGCGATGGACAGGGAGGCCTGGTGTGCTGCAGTCCATGGGGTCACCAAGAGTCAGACACAACTGAGCAACTGAACTCAACTACTGTTTCCAAGTGATTACATGGTCTCAATAACTAAATAAGATTTCTGCCACAGCAACCCACTGCTATTCGACTTCTCAAAAGTAGGGGGAGGTTTGTGGCCGGAGGCATTTAGATTGTACTTTGTCGAGGAGTGACGCAGGCTGCCTTAAGCTCCATGTTGAGACACCCACAATGATCACTAGATGGCAGCATTGAGACAAACACACAGCAGAGGTTCTGCTAAGTAGGTTGAAGGTTGTGTAGCATTCAGACCTGGGTTTGG